CAAATCCAATTTTATTCAGCTAAAACAATACACCAAGAATTGCTCATGAAAAACTGATCATACAGTCTAGCACATGGCTACAAGCACAAGCACTGAAATGAGCAGCTAATATTCACCAAAGTCCAGAGAATTGACTCTGGTATTTGTGACAAGGACCGTGTCTTGACACAATTCCAGGATTCTATGGAGCTGCCTGGATCAAACCATACTCCATAGCCCCTAATGGCAACGTCGCACAAGGATTCTATAATGGACATCCTTGAGAAAACAATCGCCAATCAGAACACAGTACCAGAAAAGAGAAACATCGGTTTGGGTATCTTTATGCTGCAGCCAAAAAAACCAGACGCTGGTTTCGATCAGTTCCCGGTAATAAAAAGCTAAAAACAAAACGGAATATATGTGTCGTTTTTTGTGCAACTTCAAGCCACAGAATCCAATTGACTAAACCCGACGTCCTAGGATCCGACAAAAAATTCTACATCCAGCTCACTAAATCCAAAAACCAAAAATATCACAAGGAAACTCGCATGATCGCAGAGTTCCGGCACACATCAACCTACAGTCACCTTGCACGGCAAATCAAAAACTGCTGGAACCCAAATCTGGCGTACTCCGAAAACCCGAATCAGAAAATGGAACCGACACCAAAAAGGCATCAAAGTTTCGCTTCCGCGAAAAAAAAAAGGCACAGCAGATGGAAAACTCACAAACCGAATCTAAATTCTCACCTCCCCAGTGGCGGATCTAGCATGGGGCATGGGGTTCAGCTGTTGAACCCCCCAAACCTTTTTGGGAACCATCAAACTGCTACTAGTATTAACGTTAAAGACAAATTCCTAGAGCAGAAGCTAAGGGTGAAGGCGAATTCTGAGAAGAAGTGCGTGGGTAGAGAGAGAGAGAGAGAGAGAGAGAGAGAGAGAGAGAGAGAGAGAGATGGGGAAGAGGACGAGATGCGGCGGGAGCAGCAGGACAAACGGCGGCGGCGGCGACCCTGCTCGCTCGCTGCGGAATGGATGGGGGGATCGGCGTAGGCTGCGGGTGGCGGGAGGACGTGCTCACCAGGGTGATGGATGCGGCGGAAGCAGCAGGACGAACGACGGCCGCCCTGCTCGCTCGCGGGATAGATGGGGATCGGCGGAGGCCAACTGACGAGGTGGGGGGTTCATGGTACGCACGACAGAGGAGGCGTCAAAATGGCGAGGGTTATTTAGTAATTTCGCTCAGCACTCATCCCACCCTACCCAAACGGTGGAAATCTGAAAAAAAATGAAGGGGGGTATAAATTGGGTCTAGGGCTACCTTTTATTAGTTTCACTTTGTAATATCTTTTAAACTATCTTTTCACTTTGATCTAAGAAAGTTATTATGTCTTGTTTTACTTTGGAGTTTGAACCACCCAAAAACTTTTCTCAAACACGTAAATGACTTTAACCACGTTGTCACCTGTAAACTGATAATCTTCTCGACTTACATCTTCGCAAGATTAGAAAGTAGATGTAACTAGATAAGTGACTTAGGGTGGTCCAAAGTACAATAAAGATAATCTTACCTAGTCCAAAGTGAAAATATTAGCTAGAGGGTGATCCAAAGTGAAATTTTGGTAATAAAAAGCGGGCCGATGTGCAATTAACTCAAATGGAAATAATATCCATCAGTCGTAATCCCATTTTTCAAATGGAGCCTCTAGGTCTAGACCGTTGAGACGTGGAATTTTTTTATAGTATATGGTTGAGATGATGGATAAATAATACTATGTTTGGACACTGATCGATTAGGCACAACTCATTGAACGGGCCATGTCGTGTAGGCTCACGTGCTAAGGCTGGAGCCCAGGCACGGCCCAGTGAGAATGTCGGGTCATGCCGTGTTGGCATGCCACGATTAGGGTACATGGGCTATGTGTAATCCGGTTAGCCCAAATTTGACATATACAAAAATAATACGAACAAAGTCCGTTGTATTTTCCTACACAAACTCCGGCAAAGCTCTGGCGAGGCTCTCTGCTCACCAATAGCACATTCCTCTTCCTCGTCATCAAGCACCACCATGGCCTTAAAAATAAAAATCCGAGTCTTCTCATCTTTTTTGCAAATTGTTTTTATGGGAAGGGGTCAATGCACACCATCTCACACCTAAGTATCTTGGGACTAAATATCTCCACTTATTTCAATAAAATCAGTAGTCTCTTAACAGTTTTATAATTAATCATCAAAACCCACTTAGAGAGCTAGATTCACTTTCAATTGTACGATGCAGGAAGGCAAGCAGGTTGTTGAATATGGGAGTGGCTGGCATTTTATCAAAAGTTTGAAAGGGTTTGGATGGCTCCCACTCAATTAAATAAATGAAGGAAGAAAACTAGTTCAATCGGGGTCACTTTCGGCTGAACCAGAATTCAAATACTACACCATTTTGAATATTGATATAAATGATGGTCTAAGGCGATGGCTGTTGAATACTCATACATGTACTGTATTATGCAGCAACAGTAAAAAAATGTGAGGTTTGTGTCACTGAGTATGGCGCGAAATGTAGCTTGAGCTAGCTTGACCGTTATTTTTTTATTTTGGTGCAAGGAAAATCAATGGTTAATATATACGTGTTTTCTTTCATCGGGCATATGTTATAGTGTACAAATGCGGTTTTACTGCTCCATCGTTTGGCTTATTTGGAGAATAAGCAAAATGACATACAGTGTTAGTGTTCTTCATAGATATTGCGTGAAGTGGAATTTGGTTGAACTCACTCATTTATTATTGAAAAATGTGGTTTATTGCTATAAACAGCAAAGTAAGTTGATTACCAGGTCCATTCCAGGAAGGATTGCAAACATAGGAAACAATTCACTCGCCACAGCTAAGCATATCCTGCACATAAATGCTGTATCCAAAATTACCAAACACGCCATCGTCTGAACTGGTTCCAATCCAAATCCAAAACCGCCGCCAGCCTCTGCCACCGCTGTGCTGAGCTGTCCAGCTCCATCTGCTGAATGCAAAGCCATCCATTCCATCATCCTACCAAAATGAAAAATGCCATCTCCACCAAAAAAAAAAAAGAATTCAGAACGGGCAAAACTTTTTCAGAGAAAAGAAATGGCCAATGTCTAGCCGAAAGGTGAGTAGGTGGCGACTCGGATTGCTCCTTTTCTGTAGTAGTAGTAGTAGCATCCATGTCCTGATGTCCAGTTGTCCAGCAATGGCATTTATAATTTCGTACGGGTCGGCCACCGCCCACGGGGCACGGGTAGCCATCATCAACGGAAGCCAGAGCTTGGAAAAAACGAGTGCGAGAGACAGGGCGGCGGTCGCGACGAGATGATGACAGCTTGACAAGGACGCGCGGCGCGCTCACAAGAGTACAACACTGGAGGCGCTGTTCCACGTGTGCTCGCCACCCTGGATTCCGGCAGGTTGCCGGGGTTGGTTGGGGACGATGCCACGGTGGCGGTCAAAGTGGTCCAACGTGGCAGTCAAAGTGGGGCCCACCAGTCCCGCCCCCTCTTTGTGCTTAAAATTTCAGCCGTCCCAATTTTTTTATGTCTAAACACATGCAATCCAGTAATCACGAATGTATAAGCACAGCACGCCTTGTTTGGAATTCTAGTTCTAGGCAAGATTCCCACGGGAGCACGGTCAATCCGGTTGACCAGGAGACCTATCGAAGTATATGGGCTGTCTCGTTTAACATGGGCTTTTTTGTTGGCTTGTTTCTAACAAGGAATAAGTTCACCGGAGGTCCCTCACCTTAACATCGAGATTTTTCGAGGTCCCTTAACCACAAAATAAGAAATGTGTACCCCTAAACTTATATAAATCGTGCATACAAGGTCCTATGGCAACATATATGGGTGGCTTCGCTGACGTGGCATCCTAGTCAACAAATTTTTTTTTAAAAAGTACATGGGGCCCATATGTCAGCAGCACATCTTTTTTTCTTCTCTTTTCTTCTCCTTCTCTTCTCTCTACCCTTCTTCGGGCCGGCAGCGGGTGGAATCAGTGAGCGTGGCAGCGAAATGGAGGCAGTGGGCGGTGGGTGGTGGGTGGAGCGGCGAAGCGGACGGCGGGCGAATGCGGTTGTGAACTTGTGGAGTGGCCGGCAGCGCTGCGTGGAGCAAGAGCGATTGAGGAGAGGTGGAGATGGCCGGGCAGGTTGTCGCCGTCATCGTGTGGTGCGATTGCAATGTGGACAGCAGCGACCTGGCTAAGGACGTCGTCTACGACATGAACGACAAGCATCCCGCTGGGTCGGCGAGTTCCTCGACCCAAGCTTGCTCAACGGAGTGAACGACGGGACACGCTCCTTGACAGGTTCCATGAACGCACTAATCCCAGTGCTCTGCTGCCGCCGCTTCACTGCCTCCCCTCCGCCCGCACCCGTCGCTGCTCTGTGCCGCACTCGCCGATTCTGCCCGCCTATTTTTTTCATAACTATTTTAATTGACATACAAACAATGAGGCGGCATCCCTCGAGGGATCAAATTCCACCCTCAATTCAATGGATCACTTAGTTTATTGGAAATCTGGTTCGATGGAAAGCAATCTACTGCATCTGAGCATCCCGCTTATACATCCAAATTTGATTGTTGCGTGCTTATTTTGTTGCACCTGCTTAGGGGATGTTTGGATCAAGAACCACATCGGATGTAGTGTATTAAACATAGATTATTTATAAAACTAATTACATAAATGAGAGCTAATCTGCAAGACAATTTTTTAAGCCTAATTAATCTATAATTATAGAATGTTTATTGTAGCATCACATAAACTAATTATGGATTAATTAGGCTCAATAGATTCGTCTCACGATTTAATTCAGAGTTATGAAATAGGAGTAGGTTTTATCGTTCTTTTGTGTTTAATACTTCTAATTAGTGTAAAACATGTGATGTGACCCCATCCAAACTCCCCCTCACATGCAAAAATTTCGGCCATCTTGACCCTTCCACTCGATCTGACGCGACGTGTCGGAGTAGTAATTAACTGATGCGCGCGTTTCCCGCCAAGCCACTCACTGCTCGGCTCGACTCCTCCTGCTAGCTCGCCCGTATCCAGCTCTACCTTCGCCGGCGGTGGCGGCGGTGATCGGTGGTCCTCGATCGATGCCGCCGCCGCTCCCGTGGCGGCGCCTCGTCGTCCCGCTCCTCGCCGTCGTCTCCGTGCCTTTCGTTCTCCCGCTCGCACTCCCGTTCCTCCTCCGCTCCTCCTCCTCTCGCCAGCCGCTCTCCGTCCACCGCCTCGACTGGCTCCCTCCTCTGTCCCCGCTGCCTCGCACCCCGGATCCATCAACTCCGCCGCCGCCGCCATTGACGCTCCCGTTGGCGCCACTGACCACTCCGCCGCCGCCGCCGCCATCGACTCTCCCGATGGCACCACCAACGAGGTCGTCGCCGGCCGCTTCCCCGCCGCCTCCCGAGAAGGGCGAGGGTGGAGGAACGACATGCGACTTGTACGATGGGGAGTGGGCTCGCGACGAGGCGGCACGGCCGCTGTACGCGCCGGGGACGTGCCCCTACGTCGACGAGGCGTACGCCTGCGCGTCGAACGGCCGGCCGGACGCCGCGTACACGCGGTGGCGATGGGCGCCGCGGCGGTGCCGCCTCCCCAGGTAGTACTAGTACTAGTACCCCGCCGCTGCCGCCGCTTCGTCGCTCGAGCTCGCCATGGCTGATCCGATCTCGCTAGGTCCGTAGGTTCAACGCGACGGATTTCCTGGCGACGCTGCGGGGCAAGCGGCTGATGCTCGTCGGCGACTCCATGAACCGGAACCAGTTCGAGTCCCTGCTCTGCATCCTCCGCGAGGCCATCCCGGACAAGACGAGGATGTTCGAGACCCACGGCTACAGGATCAGCAAGGGCCGCGGCTACTTCGTCTTCAAGTTCGTGGTAATTAACCTCACTAAAACTGACAAATGGAATCCATGGCGGCGCAGCGTGACAGTAATCATCGTTATCCTGCAGGATTACGACTGCACTGTTGAGTTCGTGCGATCGCATTTCCTTGTCCGGGAAGGCGTGCGCTACAATCGGCAGAAGAACTCCAACCCGATCCTCCAGATTGACCGGATCGACAAGTCGGCGAGCCGGTGGAGGAAGGTCGATGTCCTCGTCTTCAACACCGGCCACTGGTGGACGCACGGCAAGACGGCGAGAGGGTACGTACCTACTCCCCCGTCTCTACCAAGAATCGGATGGGACATGACATAGTATAGCGAATCTGAACAGAAGTCTGTCTAAATTTAGGTTTGATGTACTATAGGATAGAGGGAACATGTGCCATTGTTGTGCAGCTCAAAGAAACCAACCATTTTGGTGTCGCTAGCTGAATCCTGATTGCTGAGCAATGTGGGCAGCATCAACTACTACAAGGAAGGCGACACGCTGTACCCACAATTCGACTCGACTGAAGCTTACAGGAGAGCTCTCAAGACCTGGGCTCGCTGGATCGACAAGAACATGGACCCGGCCAAGAGTGTCGTCTTCTACCGAGGCTACTCCACTGCACATTTCAGGTAACCGAACCTGATCATCACTCGCCATTGCAACAATTTCAGTTCATCTTGATTCAGATTTTAGTATCGAATTTTGGCAGGGGAGGGGAGTGGGATTCGGGTGGGTCGTGCAGCGGGGAGAGGGAGCCGACGCTCAGAGGGGCGGTGATCGGCAGCTACCCGCGGAAGATGAGGATCGTGGAGGAGGTGATCGGGAGGATGCGGTTCCCGGTGCGGCTGCTCAACGTGACGAAGCTGACCAACTTCCGCAGGGACGGCCACCCGTCGGTGTACGGCAAGGCGGCGGCGGGGAAGAAGGTGTCGAGGAGGAAGCAGGATTGCAGCCACTGGTGCCTCCCCGGCGTGCCGGACGCGTGGAACGAGCTGATCTACGCGTCCCTCGTGTTGGAACCCAAGCCCAGATCATGGAAACACCACTAGTACACTACTTCAGTTTCTTTTTGTGTTTGTTTCGGTTTGAGCAGTTGAGCTGATGCGCAAACTGAAAATGTGCTTGATGTTTGCTCAATTGAGGACAGGAGGTTTTGCCTTGCTTTTTGAGATGCAAAAGTCTTCCTCCTAATTTTTTTTAAACGCCATTCAGCTAGCTTTATTGAGAAAAAATAGTTACATCATTTACTAACATGCTAAAAAAAAATTAGAGGGTTCATCGACCCAAATACATCATTCTAATTAAGATATTTCAATTATTTCTTTCTTTCTTGAAAAAGCATCTCTATAGATAAGGTGTTTGTTTCTGTAGCTATGTTTGTGGAATCATAAAAAAAATAAAATCAAAACCGTTCTCCCCAATTTCAGTACCAAAATTCACAGCTTTGCCATCTTTTCCCTCTAACTTTTTTTTTGTTTTTTCAAAAGTCTAATACCTATTCGTAGTCTCTAAAATTAAATTGTTGATCGGAATCTAAGAAACCATCTTAATACTGATTGCATACATACGCATAGTACGTCAGCTGGTTTTGTTACATATTGGATTAGTTAATTACTCGTTGGTTTTTGTTGAAAAAAAAACGTAAAAGAATAGATCTTTGGTGGTGTTTGTAACTGATAAAGATGAAGATTAAGTTGGCGTACATTAAAAAAACTATTAGCACATGTTTAATTAAGTTTTTAGATCGTACCGTTTATTAGTTCGAAAATCAAGGTAAAATCTGAATTTTAATGGGAGACTTTTGGATAGTGGGAGTATTACGTAACCTATACATGAAAGTGCATTCCTGCTTTACGTAAACGAAACAAGGCCGGACGGCCCAAGTCAAGAAGAGAAAGGATCCAGTCAAAATCTGAGAGAGCCGAATACTCTCTTCCCCAAACTATCTCCGCCTCTTCCTCCTCCGCCTCCGGTGATCCGGTCTCGCTATCTCTCTTCCGCATCTCGGGACGCGATGGCGGCGCTGCTGGGCCGGAGGTTCGGGATGGCGGCGGCGGCGCTCATCGCCCTCGCGGCGCTCGGATCCGCCGCCTCGGGGACGGCGTCCAAGTCGTCCTTCGTGAAATCCACCGTCAAAGCCCACGACGTCGTCATATTCTCCAAGTCATACTGCCCGTACGGCCCCCCCTCTCCCATCTATCCTCTGTGCATTCCGCTTTACTGCTCTCGCTTAGCTTTTGCTGAGAATTTCGATTTGGGTTTTGGGATGTAGTAGTCGCCAGTATCATCTATGCGTTTAGCTGATCTAGTTGGGGGATTTCGATTTTGGATGTTGTTGCCGTGAAGTTGAGCGGACCTAATCGTGAATTTGTAGAAAGTCTTGAGAGTTGGTACTGAATTAGTTCTATATCCATCGGAAAACTGTCTTTTCGTTGCGAATTTTAGGAGAGATACATGACCTACTGGTCCTGGCTTGTGACGCTGTACATGAGTCTGGGAATTAATCCTCCTTTTGCTCGATCCAACTGTTGAGTTTTTGGTTTGATTCTTTACACAAATTTGGGACTGTTTGAAACGGACAGAGCAGATAATGGTTGCCTAGTTGGTATTGGACTAAAATGGGGAATGGGGAGGAATTGAGGTCATATGACCTTATGTGGTGATCCAAGTTTTTATCTCTCCTGCAATTCTATATGTGCTGTACACCATGTGATAGAAAATGCAGTTTTACTCAGTACTTTACCAACTTTTATAAAAATCTCTAATTATTTGGTCAACTGCAAATTTACTCCTTTTGATTTAGGCTAGTCGATTAAATTGATGTGCAAAGTATTGTTAACAGTAAGTTTCAGAGCTTTCAGGATTTTGTTTTGTGTAAGAGAGTTGTGGGGGCAATTCTTGCTCTATGATACAAGAACTTGCTGGATCAGAATTTTGGACTTTCAGATTAATTTGCTATTGGTGCTTGTGAAGAGTGAAGAGTAGGTAGCTATATGGAGTGTTAGCTGATGAGTAATGAATGTACAAAAATGATGCCCATGATACCAAAATCCAACCTACCCTTGTCTGCATACATGCTATGATACTAGCTAGAGAAACTCAATCTTAAAAAAACGCATAATTTTTCAGGTACTGTAGAAGAGCCAAAGCTGTGTTCAAGGAACTTGAACTGAAGAAGGAGCCGTATGTTGTGGAGCTTGATCAACGAGGTTTGTTTTATATACGTTTTCATACTGTAATTGCATTGTGGCTTTCTTAAGAATTTTTCTCTTTGTAATATTTATTTTTCTTTACTCTTTAGTATTTGCAGTTATTGATTTATAATGTTATGTCCTTGTGTTCTCAAAGTTTGCTAAATTGAGTATACATCTGCTGTAGAGTGGGCTGTAGCAGTAAGCAGTGCAGTTTATGAGACAGATCTGCTCACGGCTTTCAGCTATATACTTTTTTTCCCTTAGTGGAAGTATCATAGTTTCATTGAACTAACTGGGTCGGCGGGCCCAACATCTTTTTTAGAATGTTGTCATGTACAAAAACAGCACCACTCAAACTAGACGCTGATATAGGAGTATAAAATGTGATAAAGGACATAGTCTAGTGTGGCAATGAGGTTACCATATAATATATTGAAAATGGTAAGAAAACTGCACAATGAGTGTCAGCGAACAGATATAAACACCAGGGATTCAAGGTCTATAGAATGTATCCTTCTTGCCTATCTGTTCAAACTGTTTTCCCTATATGGCACAAAGGGGGGTAAAACAATCAGTTATATCAGACAGAATCATATGCATATTTACTGCCACTGAAAAACCTATCTGTTTTTGCAATTTGGTTACTCCTTGAACATACGTTATCTTTTGGACATTTCTTTCTTTTAAGTACAAATATTGTTCTCAGACCTGACACTAAAAAACATAGTCATTTTGATGATGCCTTGATGCAACAATTTTTCCTTAATGCAGAGGATGGTTGGGAGATTCAGGATGCCTTATCTGACATGGTTGGCAGGCGAACTGTTCCTCAAGTTTTTGTCCATGGGAAGCACCTGGGTGGCTCTGATGGTAGTTTTCCTGTAAACAAATCAATTAAATTTAAGATTCCATGAACTCTCTTTCAATCCTGACTCATACCTTCTGATTGGAAAAAAATGCAGATACTGTTGAAGCATATGAGAGTGGCAAGCTAGCCAAACTTTTGAACATTGATGTCAAAGAAGATCTTTGAGTAGTAATAGTTTAGCATCAATGGCAGGCCTCTTTCATTTCCATAGAACATACCCAAATACTATGCAACTATGAATTCTTCATAGAATTTGGCTGTGAATGTACCTCTTTAGACCCCTTTAAACTGTACTCTATGACAAACCGACAATACCTCCGTTACCTCACATTTGTTATTTGCATAGGCCATCGTAATTGATTGCATCGCAATCAGCATTCTTCCATTTTTGCATTTCCGTGCATATTATGTATTCAATTCAACTAGATGATATCCTGTACGCTGCTGCGGACATTTGCTTGGCAAATAGCTGCCGATCTGGTAGGGATGCGTGCACTAAGAACTGGGATGGAAAAACATGCATTTGCTTGGCAAATAGCTGCCGATCTGGTAGGGACGCGTGCACTAAGAACTGGGATGGAAAAACATGAAAGAAAGCAAAGGCAACTAATTTTATGAAATCTCAGTTATACTCCAATTATAATTATCATATAATTAGAGTAAAGTTACAATGTGATTATATTTGATTTACACTAAAATGTTATAATTATAGTTGAAAGTTCTTCATAAAGCTGTAGAATATTGTATAGCCACTTATTGAAATAATAGGGAAAGAACCAAATCCAAGAGGGATGGATCTGTTTCCTTTCCGCACCCACACGGCCACGCTAATAATTCAAAACCGATTCTAAGAGGCATGTACTGTCAATTCGTTTTTGATTCGTCGTGCTCCAAACGTAGGCAAGATGAACGCTCTTCACCTACGCATAACAAACCTGATCGATCATCGATCAGTAGAAGAAAAGCTACTCCAACTCAGGCCCTCTTTGTTTAGGCTTAGACTTATTGGTCTAGACTTTTAAGTCAGCTTATTGGCTTATATGATTTATAAGCCGGTGAATTTAATGTCCTAAGTTTAGTAGTTGAGTCATACATTTACCTCACATAAGCCAAAAAAGTTTCTCCAACTTAGCTTTTGGCTTAATAGTGTTAGAGTGGCTTATGGCTTCAAAAAAGCCAAACGGAAAAGCTACTTGTTTGTTTAGGCTTAGACTTTTCGATTTATAAGTTGGCTTATAAGCCTAAACAAAGAGGGCCTCAATCGTCATCATGGACGGCGACCATGCCGGCGCCTGGTCGGACTTGCCGGCCGACGTCCTGATCACAATTCTCGAGGCGCTTGACATCGTCGACCTCGTCCGCGCCGGCGCCGTGTGCCAGTGGTGGAACACCTCGTCAGCGTACGTCCGCGGCCTCCACCACCTCCTCTCCCGCCCTTGTACGCCCTGCCTACTCTACACCACCGCCGCCGCCGCTGGCGCCGACGCCGACGCCGACGACCCCAACGTGGCCACCCTCTACAGCCTCACCGACCACCGGTCCTACACCGTCACGCTCCCGGGGCCCCACGTCCACCGCCGGTGGCTCGGCGCCTCCCACGGCTGGCTCGCCACCGCCGACGACGATGCGGCGCTCCACCTCGTCAACCCCGTCACCGGCCAGCAGATCAGCAACCTGCCGCCGGTCACCACCGTCGAGCCGGTGCGGCGGCTGCTCGACGACGGCGGCGCCGTCGTCCCTGGCATGTACGTGGTGTACCCGTACGACTGGACGCTGCGGGTGGAGCCGCTGGTCAACGCGCCCATGACGTTGACGGCGCGCGAGCTCTCGGAGTACCTCTACCTCCGCGTCTTCCTCTCGTCGGACCCTTCGTCCGACATCGTCGGCGGCGGCTGCGTCGTCGTGCTCCTCCACCGCCCCGACGGCCAGATGTCCTTCGCGAGGCTGGGCGACACGCACTGGACGTGGATACGCACGCCGACGGGGAACGAGCTGTACGTCGACGTCGGCTTCAGCGCCGACGGCCGGATGCTCTACGGGATACGCCGCGACGGCGCCATCCACGAGTTCGACCTCGGCGGCGAGCCGGCCCTGGAGAGGACGACCATACTCCCCGCTCAGGATGGCATGATGAGGCACACCAACTACCTCGTCGACGCGCCGTGGCTCGGCGGCGGCGACGGCGGATGCTGGCTCATGGTGTGCAGGCGCATGGGTGCAGCGAACCTCCAAGCCTACGCGGCATGGCTGGCGGACCGGAGCTTGCCCTACGACGGGGTGTGGAACACGCACTCGATCAAGGTGTACCGGGTGGATCCCGCGGCGGGGACGGCGGCGGAGATCAACCACGTCGGCGGCCGCCACGCCCTGTTCTTGGGATGCAACAGCTCGTTCGGCCTCGCCATGGCGGATTGTCCAGCCGGGATCCTGCCGGACCACGTCTACTACACGGACAACGAGGAGCAGTACGCGCTCGACACGCCAGAGTGCGCGAGGGACATCGGCGTTTACCGCATGGGAGATGGGAGCTTTCATCGGGTCAAGCCTCCTTCGCCGTGGTTGGATTGGCCGCTGCCCGCTTGGATTATACCCAGCTTTGGCTGCCTAGGCTATAGTAACAGGTTTCTAGCTAACTAGGATTCCAAAGCTACACATGCATGCATGAACAATGATCGCAATTAATTAAGCTACAGTTAGTTTGTGTGGGCTCTGGACCAGTATATTTTCCTCGTGTTGGCTAATTTTTATACATGAATTTGTATACAAAGGGTACGTGATTTCGACCTCAAAGTAAGTCTCATGTTCAATCCTCAACATGCTCACGATTTCTTCTTAAAATATATTTAGAGCGACGTCTCTCCAAATCTTTTTATATACATGAATTTAAAGGCACGTAACTTAGTGGTTAGAAGAGACTCAGGAGCACCTTAGGTTCTGGTTCGACTTTCCATAGAAATGAATTTTTCAGGATTCAGTCTAATCTTTGAAAATACTCATAGGGGTAGGATAAACACAAATATACACAGTTGCACACTCCGTAGGGGACTGGCGGTTGTCCACGGCTCGAATACAACATCAGCATGCATCCTAAAACAGTCTAGGCCCATAAGCATCCTTGATGGTGACCTTGAGTCGGTGACAAAGGAAAAAGTCTATTTTAGGTCCCTCCTTTATGGGTCAAGTTACATTCATATCCTTCAACCACAAACCAGGCATAGAGAGTCTACCATTTTATCAAAACCAGTATAAATAAAATTCCTCGGTTTGGAAGACGGTTTTGTCACATGTGACGCTTACGTAGCATATTTACTTGATCAATTATGTGACGTGTCACCTACATGGCGAGGTCTAGGAGGCGGCTGCCGTATGCGCCGCCATGAAGGCCGATCTCAAGCCGAGAGAAGGGGTAAAGGGAGAGGGAGACTGACATGTAGGCTTACTCTCTGATGGTTATGTGGATCCTATTGTTTTTTTTAATTTTTTACTTAGAGCCCGTGCGTTGCAACGGAAATTTTTTTAGTACCTAGCTTATTAAGTTAGTTAAACACAAATTCAGTTTAAGTAATACTTTTATAATTTTTCTTATTATAAATAAGTAGGTGATTTAAAATTTTGGGAAGAGGCAGTAGTGAAATGGGAGATTCATTAGAGGATGGTATAAATATCAATGGTAGAGGTAAGAGGTGATGCGGCAGAACGAACACCACCACTACTAACATTTTAAGCAGTACATAAATTAACTATTATGCCATGTAGTCACTACGTCATATAACCGACCAAGCCAATACACCATATGGATGTAATACAAAACGAAACCATCTTCTAAACCCACCAAGGGACACTATTCACATTTGGTTTTGATAGTTGGAGAGCACTATATACCCAGTTTTTGTGGTTGAGGAACGCGAATGAAACTCGACCCATATTTGAGCGACCTAAAATAGACCTTTTTTTTTTTTGCCGGTGGCAAAACACCCAACCAAATCCTATCCTTTGGACCTCAAACCGGCCTAGTCCTCACCCGGCCCCATCACCCTCCCTACCTCCCAAGGCCCCAACCATGGGGGGGGGGGGGGGGGCTAATGGGCGATCGCCCAGCGATCGGATCCCCCGCCTCCCCCTATACACAGTCCTCCCACTTCTTCCCTTACTACAGTAAACCACAAAAAAAATTTAAAAAAAACAAAAAGTTAGAAAAAAATTATGTATAGAAATACTATATATAAAAAATTTGAAATCAAATTCAAATTTGAATTCAATTTGATTTTGATTTTTCAAATTCAAATTCAAATTTGAATTCAAATTTAAATTCAAATTTGAATCGGGTATGTAAACTTTTGACTTATAAACTTTGGATCTATAAACTTTAGGTGTATAAACTTTAGATGTATATAGAAAATATTTGAATTTAAATTCAAATTTGAATCGGATATAATTCAAATTCAAATTTGAATCAGGTATATAAACTTTAGGTCTATAAACTTTAGGTTTATAAACTTTAGATATATAGAAATACTATATATGAAAAATATTTGAATTCAAATTCAAATTTGAATCAGATATTTGAATTCAAATTCAAATCGGATATAATTTAAATTCAAATTTGAAACGGGTATATAAACTTTAGACTTATAAACTTTAGGTGTATAAACTTTAGATGTATAGAAATATTATATATAAAAAAATATTTGAATTCAAATTTAAATTTGAATCGGATATATAAAATTTTGGTCTCTAAACTTTAGATGTGTAACCTTGAGGTGTATAAACTTTAGGTGCATAAATTTACTAAAATAGAAAAGTAATGCGGTGCCAAAAAAGGAAACAGTTGGAGGGAGGGAGGGGGGAGGTGGGGAGCGAATTTGATCGCTACCCCCTCCCCACGGCGAGTGATCGCCAAACAGCATTTCTGCCAACCATGTGCAGAAACCACAAATCTGCAGAGCCCCCATCACGCGATTTTCCGCTCAAATCACACGCTCGCGCCGCACCCCCCACCACATAGAGCCAATTGTGACGGATGGCTTCGATCTCTTCCTCGCGTAGGACGGTG